TCCTGAGTTGAGGAAACGGAGACGAGCTGTGATTTAAGTTATCATCATCATCATCATCTGTTCACAAGGGAGCTCAAGATAGGAACTGACTGATTCCTAAGGATAGGTTGTCTGCCCTAAATCTCTCGTCTGAGTTGCAAACCAACCCCAGGGCCTGGCCTTCTTGCAGAGGGAGAGAGAGGACACAACACCAGAGGTGACCACTGCCTTTATTGCCTCTGTGCTGGGGTCTTGGGCTGGGGGTTGGGGTTTGGAGGTATCTGGGGGGAGCAGGTGACACTGGGCCCAAATTATTGCTACTTGGCAAGGTCACCTTGGGACTTCCCATAGTGCCCTGAGTGTGGGTAGGCATGAACATGCAAAATATATGCAAATGACATGCAAACCAACCCAGGATCTTGCCGAGGTCTCTGGTGCAGCCAAGGGTGCTGGAAGAGTTGGAAGCCTGCTAACCCAGGAGGGTGATGGGGACACCCAGGTCCTTACCCCACACTGCAGACGGATCCGGCCCAGCCTCAGGGGTCGAGGTTTGGTGGTGGGGGGGTGGGGGTGGTGTCCCTGAGCATCAGCCCTGGTTCTGCTGCTGGCTGAGGAAGAGCAGAAGCCTGGCCCCAAGACAGCAGGAAGAAAGCAGGGTACCCACTAGGCAGCCAGACAGCCCGAGGCCCACCCAGAGAGGGAAGCGACCTCCTTCCTCTGTGTCACACAAGGCTGGGACAGAGGTGACCAAATCCAAGCTTCTTGAGCCAGGCAGAGGCCAGAATGCCTCAGAGGCCAAAGCTACAAACAATAAAATACACTGATAAATAAATAGAAAGCGAGCAGCCCAGTCCCTGATCCCTGGGCTGAGAGACTCTCCACCAGCTGGGTCTGGGGCAGGGGGACCTTTGAGAGCCCGGCCCCAGTTCTAAGAGTGGCAGCATCCTTGGTCTTGGTGCTGAGTCAACCAGTCGAGAAGCTCCAGAAGGAGGCAGGTAGGGCCCCAGGGCCTTGGCTTATGCAGGTCAGGCTCAGTTATTATTCATAATCCACCAGGAGGCTAGGGGTCAGAGGTTGAGGGTCAGAGGCCATCAGGGGCCCACTGCCACTCCGTAGGGCTGTAGAGCAGGGTCGGGGGCCACAGTATACCTGGGAAGAACACAGTGGTGAGGATGTCTGGAGCTCGCAGGTGGTCAATGAGGATGCGCTGGAAGGCCTTACTGCAGGCGGACTGCTGGTGCCTGGGGAGGGCCGTGGAGTGACCTGAGGCTGGAGCTGGTCCCTCGAAGAGCAAGACCACATGGCTGAGAGCTCCCCACCCCCACCCTGTTCTACCTACTGTCTGGATTCAGATCCCGGTCCTGCCTCACATTGGCTCTGAGCCTCGGTTCTCTGTCTGTGAAATGGGGACAATAGTGCCTACTGTACCGGGACACTGGGGGGATGACGTGAAATAATACGTGGGTGCTTGGCATAGACCGTGGCACGGTGGTAACAGTGTGTATTCACTGAGTGCCCGCCATCTACTGTGTTCCTGCCATCGTGCTCAGCTTTTCATACACCATCTCGTTTGGCTCATAGAAGGGTAGACCTATTATGACTCTCATTTTGGAAAGATCACTGGGGCTCAGAGTGGATGAGTAACTCTCCCGAGGTCACACAGCCAGTGATTAATAGAGGATGATTTGAACCCACGCCTGACTCACTCCAGGGCCCATACTCAATAAACTTTAGCTTTCAGATACCATTCATACCTTCTCCAGGAGGCCTCATCCTGCCAGAACTCATATAGGGTGAAAGAGGCATTGTCCAGCATCTTCTGGGCAGACACACTGTGGGGCCAAAGAGATGGCCAGGCCAGGCCCAGGCTACCACCACCACTGCCCACCCAGCCTGGGTGTCTGACGGGAGCCTTGGCCAAGGACGCCCAGCCCCAGCACTTTGCCCTGCTCACCCCCCTCCCCTGACCTTGGCCAGCCCACTGGCCAGCTAGGGACTCACTGCAGGCAACGGCTCTGGGCCCCTGTGAAGTCCACATAGCAGCACAGGGCACGGTGGAAATCCTGCAGGGCTTCCTCTGCCACGTGCACCTGCCTCTGGGCCACGAGGATGTGCTGGCAAGAGAGGCAGCCTGGTGAGCCAGGGTGAGGCAGGGCCCAGGGGAAGGACTGGCTCTGGCCTTCAGGAGGACTCCGCCCTTCTTGACTTGCACCAGCCCCGCCTACCGTGAGGTCAAGCTCCTGCCCCAACCTGGCCCCCAGCATCCCTGCCTCCAGCCTCTCCTCATGGCCAAGATCATTGCCTTGATCCAGCCACTGCCCCCCCCTCCAGCAGCATGCCACCACTTCCCCCTCTAGCCTCCACCCACACACCCCAGACCCAGCTTTCAGGAACACAGATGAAGTGAACTAATACCCAGAGAGCGACAGTGATTTCTACAGGGTCACAGAGGAAGGGCCAGAACCCAGCACCTGCCAGGCTTGGGGGACGAGGGCTGGGCCAAGCCTGGGAAATGGGCATGTGTGTAACACAGAGGCCAAGCAGGCAGCAGTCCCCGTGAAACCCCTCATTTGATGAGCACCTCGTCCTGGCCCAATACCCAGTTGCCTGTCCCTCTCCTGGACTCACCGAGCCAGGCCCCTTGGTAAGCTCCTCTTCATGCAGGGGTTCCAGCCGGGGGGCCTATGAGGGACACAGAGTGTGGGCAAGGCCCCCGGTGTGTGCCTGGCTTATGTAGATTCCAGGAAGAACCTCCCCCTTGGGGAACTGGCCACCTGGTCACTCACCTTACACTCAAGCTGGTCAATGAGCTCCTGGAGACGGTTGACCTGGAGCCGCCACTGCATCTCAGCTTCTGAGCTCTGCCCTGGGGTGGGACACCCATGGGGGAAAGTCAGGCATGGGCCCCCTCGGGTTGGGAAGCCTCTCAGGATGAGCTGAGAGGCAGTGGGTGAGTGGGCACCGGGGGCACCTGTGTCCGAGGAGCCAGGAGACCAGGTGGGTGACCGACTGACGCTCCGCGGGGCCCTGCGCCCTGCCCTCCGGCAGCCATGGGGCCTGCTCTGTACCTCCACACTGTCTTCATCTGACCTAAGAGAAGTGGAGGGTCAGCCCATTGCTCCCAGACCCACAGGCCAAGGACTGGGGCCCCTGCACAGGGCTGGGCCTGGGTGGAGCAAGACAGGCTTCCTGGGACACTGAGGCCCAGCCAGCCGCTCCCTCACACCCCTTCTTGGCCTCCCTGTCCAAGAACAAGAATAATGGGCTCTGGGATGCTGGAGCTGCGGAATGTGATGAAAGCTGAAGGCCCTGGAATGTGGAGACAATGACCAGCAGGGCACCTCACATACCGTGGGCCACGGGCCTGGGCCTCCAGGGTATCTGACGCCCCTTCCAGCGAACTCTGCAGGGCTTGTAGCTGGCTCACCGTCTCCCGCAGTAGGAAGCGGGTCACAAACTGGTCCACCTTGGAGGCCCGCTCATATTCCTGGGGGCAGAGGGAGCATGCTCAACATATCCTGGCCCCAAGCATATATTTCTGAATGGGGAGCCACTGTCCTGCTCCCCTACCCTTGCCCATCCAAGCAATAGTACAGCATGAAGAGCAGAGAGCATGCAACCAGAGCAGGACAGTTCTGGGACTGGGAGCAGGGCCTGGCCTCCCTTCCTGGGAGGTGTAAGGCCACCTTTACAGGGAGGCATCTGCCATTTTCTGGGCCCTAAGGCCCCTTCCCTGTTGGGCCACCTTTAGCCAGGCTGGTGGTGGCAGGGGCAGAGAGGGGGGTGTAAGGCAGGTCACATGGCATCCGAAGGCATGAGGCAAAATGATGGTGTGATGTGGCCCCATGCTCACCAGTTGGCCCTAAACTCATGATCTATGCATGCATTCATTCATGCACTCATCCATGCAACAAATACGTAACTTCTACTAGGAGCTGCAGATACAAAACAGTGCTTATACACATAGCACTGATTCCTACATCACTAGCCTCCACTCAGCCCCTCCCAACGTGGGCAGAGAGACAAGGCCGACATGCCAGTCCCTACACTGCCCATTTGAGATGCTCAGAGACTCTCCAACTACCTTCGCCTCCTTGTGCCTTAGTTTCCTCACCTAGAGAACAGGGAGGATAATAGCCGTCTCACCGAGCGGTTGAAAAACTTCAGTGAACTAATTCCTACATAGGACACAGCCCAGGATGGGAGTCCTGAGAAGCCAAAGTCCAGTGCTTGCCCACCTTCCACAAAGGGCTCCAGAGGCAACATCCATCAGGGGCTTCATTTCTTTCCATGACCTGCCTCTGCTCAGCCATCAGATGGGCCCTGCTGGGCCAGGCTCATGAGCTGGGAGGCAGGAACAGAATGGGGGCCAGGTGCTCTCACTCTTAGGCCAGTGGTTTCTGCCCTGTCTCCAAGCCTCGTTCTCCAGACTTCCTGGCCATGCTCTGAGCTCTCTGAAATCCTTCCAATAAATTCCCTTTTGAGCGCTTAAGATGGTCGATCGAGTCTCTGTTGCTTGCAACCAAAAAACCCAGCTGCCACAAGCACCCTCTGTGCCATGCCCTGTTCCAAGCAGAATTTCATTTAATCCTCATAACAACTTATAAAAACCATAATGGACCCCATTTTGTAGATGAGAAGACTGAGGCCTGGAGCAATTAATTACCTTGGGCCAAGATCACACAATTAGTTAGTGGCAGAGTCAGAATTCAAACCGGGACCACAAAAATTCCTCTCTACTCACCACTAAGCGCCTTCCAAGCATTGCCTTATTTGTGATTATCAGCCCAGTTTTACACCTGAGAAACCAAGGCCAGAAGTCACAGCCAGAGTAAATGGAGCCAAGATTCGCCTGTGGGTTCTAGGAGGAGGAGCTTAGAGCCTACAGCGGGTGAGGGTGACCTATGAGGTCACAATGTGGCCTCCCCAGGATAGAGTGGGGACAAGAGTGCCCCTCCCCCAGCCAGAGGGCAGGGCAGAGGCAGCATGGGCTGTGGCCTCCAGTGGTGACCAGCCCTGCCATGGGAAACAACAGTTCTCACAAGAGAACCAAAGTGCCCAAGCAGGCCTGCAGGGAGAGGCCACCTGACATGGACAAGGCTGGGTGGAAACAGCAGTTCTTCAGCCATCTCAAGCGGAAGAAGCCAAACGTGAGTGCCAGGGTGTTAGGGCAGGTGGGAGTCAGGGGAACTTGAACAGGTGGGCAGGAGGGGATGCTGGGATTCTAGGCGTTGTGGGCATAAGTCCGAGGCGCATGGAAGGGCTTGGATAACCCCTCTGAAGATGGCAGTCCCAGGAACCCACGTAGTGTGGTTGGGTCCTAAAAGCCCAGAGGGAGGGCAGGGATTCAAGCAACCAGGAGAAATTAGGAGACGGGAGCCCAGGAGGGTGGGCCGGAAGGGATTCTCCCAACTCCCCACAGAGAAGTAGAGGGTTCTGCGTGGTGAATCAGCCTTAGTTGGTACCGCAGGGGCTATGGGCACAGGGAGGTCCTTTATGCCCCCTTTCCAGCTCCCAGCCTCAAAACATGCTACTTTTCCCCTTCTTCGAGTGGGCAGAGGCCCTGGAGGGGGTCCGGGGGGTGAGAGTCCCGCTACTAAGGCTGGGAGGGCAGGCAAAGATCCCATAATCGCAGACGGTGCAAGTCTCAGGAGGTCAGCTACGGTGGGTGAACGTTTCCAGAGGGAAGCCAGGTGTCCTGGGCAATGGGACCGGGAGAGACCCACTCCCGCCCCCGAGCACGGGAGGAGAGCGGGAGTCCTGGAAATGTAAAGGGGGCAGAGTCCTGGGAGACTGGATCTGGGTGGGTGAGGATCCTCAAGAAGAAGGCGCTGTACGCTCTTCCCCCTCACGCTCCCGCCCCGCCCCAGGCCAAGATCGTGCTGCTTTTCCCCTTGGACAAGCAGCAGCAGCTATCCGACGTGGCGGCGGGCTCAGGCGCGCGGCCCGGGCGTCCAGGCGAGGACGCGACGGGCGCCCCCGTGGGCTCCCCGGCGGCGGCGCCCACGCTGCGAGGAGCGGGCGACTGCGCTGATCGGCGCGAGGGCGCACGCGCGCGAAAGATGAAGACGCTCTTGGTCCTGCTGCTGCTGCTGGACGCGCGGCTGCAGGAGGGGCGCTGCGCGGCCGGCGCGCCCGGAGCGGGGGGCGGGGCCAAGGTCGCGCAGGGCTGGCAGCGGCTCTACTCGCGCCTGCTGACCGACGTTCAGGCGAACCGCGAGGCCGACCCCGCCGAGGAGCAGCCGCGCAAGCGGCGCCGCTGCCCTCGCCCGCGGCCCTGAGCGCCCGGCCCGTGGCCCAATAAAGAGCGCATAGCACCCCTGGCGCCTGCTGGCTCTGTCTTAGGAGGCGCAGAACTGGGCGGGGGTAACCGGGCCCAGAGCGAGACGCGGATGAAACGGTAGGGCTGAGGGCAGAGCAACGGCAATGGCTTGGCGCCAAAACCGAGCCTTCTCCTTCCTTGTGACCCAAGCGTCAGAACCCCTGCCCCCAGGTGGGGAGGGACACCCTGCCACAGTGGAGGGAAGCTGTTTCCCTCCTCCTCCTCCAACTCCAGGCCCGGGTCAGACCTTCGGGTTTGCAGGCCCAAGGGAGGTGAGTTTGGGCAAACCCCGGTGTGGGCACGCTAGGAGGAGGGACCTGCCTCCAGCCAAAACCTAACATCTTCAAGAGTCCTCAACATCCACAAGTCCTTCTTAGGCAGGGGGCGGAGGCAACAGACACCACCATCCTGGAAAAAACTGTGAGGGTCCCACGGTCAGCTGGGCTGGGGCCTGAGACTCACATTCTGCCTGTGAGAGCACCCAGGAGGAGAGGCTGGGGTCTGGGGGCTTCTGACCCCTCACTCCTACCCCACTCTGCTTGGTAACCCCCAAGCCACCTCATCACTTGTCCCTCACCCTACCTTGTGCCATCCCCTTCCCCACATTGCAGTCAGAGACTTCTTCCAAACCACTTAGCTGTCTGTAGGACAGTTGGCTCCGCTCCTAAGCTCCCACTGATTTCTCCAAAGCCCAGAGGGAAACGCCCAAACTTATTGTTGTCAAATGCAAGCTCAGCCCCCAGCCTTAGTCTTTCCCTCTAGGGCTTCTGAGTGACTCATATCCTCACCCTTGCTCTGGCTATATTGCCACTGTGGTCTCCAATGCAAGGTTCACCTCCCTAATCCACCCAGGAGAGGCCTGGCATGTTATCTGTAAGAAAGACCCAGCTACTTCTCATTTTCCTGGGCCCCAAACCCAGCTCCAGACCTGAGTGCTGCCCCAGCCCTACCGAACCTGTAGCCAGCCTTCCACTGGTGACCACCTCAGAATGTCCCAAAGGGGACAGATGCAGCAGGGGGTGAAGGTCCCAGCTCATTAAAGACACAGGCCCGGCTTCTGCTACAGATGCACTTCCGTTAGTGTCAACACAATTGACATCCCTTCCGTATCCCCTGCGTCAGGCTGGAGGTTGCATGACCCACAGCATCTCCCCAAATGCTTATAAAAACATACCCTTTCTTGCCATCCCTGTGGTTAAAATCAAGGTAACCATGTCCTTCAATGTGGCCACACATCCTGGCCATACGTGATTGGCCTAGGCTGGTCCTATCAGCCTCTTTCCTGGGACTGTAATTCAGAAGATGTGAGAGACTGTTTTCTACGTGAGCATGCATGGGCTGAAGCCAGTCTTCAGAAGAATAAAACAATGCAGAGCCTGTACACATCCTGCAGCTAGGCCCTGCGTCCAGTCTGTTCCTGAAACCTGATTTCATCTTTGTTCTTGGCGTCCATAAGGCCTACAAGATCCTTGTAATCAAATCCCTATTTTAGCTTAAGCTCAGTTGAGTAGGTCTTCTACTTACAACCGAAATGGTCCTAAAGAGAATAATAGACTCTGCAGAGACTAGAAGTGGCCTTTTTCCTATGTGAGGATTATTAGTACGTTCTGGAGGAAGAAAGTGAGCCCAGAGAGAGATTAGGACTTGCTCAGGGGGGCACAGTGAGTCATCTTCAGAACTGAGTCACAAACTCCTCGGGTCCACTGGAGTCCATACGTGGAAGCCCCTGCAGGTAGGGTCCCTATGTGGGCTGCCTGGGCCCCTCAGGGCTGAGCTCACATAGGTCCTATGAGTGGCTACAGATCTGTGATTAAGAGCTTTCCCTTCAGCATGAAGGGAGTGGGGAGGAGACTGCTGCACATCGGCCAGAGTACATCGGATAATCTGAAGCATTCTGGTTGTGCTGGACAGCTGAGGCCGGATCCCCTGATGCCAAAATCACTGCTCTTGGTCCTGTCTCAGGAGAGAGGATGGGTCCAGGGAGTTCTCATGGGAGAGGTCTGTGGAATACAGCAGGTACTGAGGACTGAGGTCACAATGAGTCCAATCCGAGTTCTTTTCCTTCCTTCTCTGACCACCCCCTCTTACCTTAAGTCAAGGCCAAGAGAGAGGTGCCAGGAGACCTTCTGGGGCTCAAGGACTGGGCTGGACTCCTGGGTCCCCAAGTAAGGATATATGTCCGGAGGACACTGCCACAAGGCCCCATCATTGTTAGAGCCCTGCTGCTCCCAGAGGCTTCTCATCTAGAAGGATTGAACGAGGCCCTCTCAACATCTACGTCCACCAGGACTGAGGGGGCGGAGCCACATAGCGGAGGCGAGTCCTCAGAGGGGTGGGCCTGGTGCAAGGTGGGTCTTGAGCCTTGAGCCACAGGAGGGCAAAGAGGGCCAAAAGCGGCCGGAGCCCGCAGGAGCGGAGACTGACGCTCAAATTAGTGGCGGGTGCTCGGGCCTGTGGGCAGAGCCAAGAGCTGAAAAGAGACGTCCAGTCTGGCCGGAAGAGTGGGAGCTCAGGACCAGAGGCCGGAGCCAAGAATTGAAGGCGCTAGTTCTGTAACCAGAAAGGCCAAGACTTAGGCCTGGGGCCCGAGCCAAGAGCTGAAAGGCGGGCCTCCAGTGAGGCCGGGGGCGGGGCCTCTGGCGAAGGGCGGGGTCGAGCCGGGAGAGGCGCCGTGGCGTCGGTGTCCCGGAGGTCCGGGAGCCGCCGGGTCCGTCGGCTGCCCTCGCTGGGCCGCGTGGCGGTGGTGGTAGACCAGGGCTCGGGCTTCATCAAGGCGGGCTTCGGGGGCGAGCGCCAGCCCCGCCTGGTGCTGAAGAGCTCCAGCCTGGTGCCCACCTGGGACCGGCCGGTGTGTACCCGCGCACCCGGCTGCGGGCTGGCGGGCGGCGTGGAACGGGCGCACCCCATCAAGCACGGCGTGGTGGTGGACTGGGAGGCACTGGAGGGGCTGTGGGAGCGCCTGCTGGTGGGCGGCCTGCGGGTGTGCCCGGAGCAGTGGCCCGTGCTAGTGAGTGACTCGCCGTCGGCGCCGCCCGCGAGCCGCGAGAAGGTGGCCGAGCTGCTGTTCGAGGCCCTGGTGGTGCCTGCGTGCCACATGGCCAGCACGGCGTTGTTGGCGCTCTGCTCCACTGGCGCGTTCAGCGGGCTGGCCGTAGAGGCAGGTGCAGGCGTGTGCCACGCCACACCCGTCTATGCGGGCCACTCGTGGCACGAGGCCACCTTCCGGCTGGACATCGCAGGCAGCACCCTGTCGCGCTACCTGCGGGACTTGCTGGTGGCAACGTGCCCTGATCCATCGCTGCGGGCCTTGCCCCGCAAGGCCATCACACAGCTCAAGAAGCGCTGCTGCTATGTGTCGCTGGACTTTGAGGGTGACCTTCGTAACTCTGACCGCCACCATCCGGTCAGTTTCTGTTTAGGCAACGGGTGCTCTTTCTGCCTCAGCAGCGAGCGCTTCCGCTGCCCGGAACCCATCTTCCAGCCGAGTCTGCTAGGCCAGGCCGAGCCAGGACTGCCTGCACTGGCCTTCCAGGCACTGCAGAGGGTCCCTGCGACTCTAAGGACACGGCTGGCCGATACCGTGGTGCTGGCCGGTGGTTCCACGCTTTTCCCTGGCTTCACTGAGCGCCTGGAAATGGAGCTAGAGGCGCAGTGCCGGAGGCATGGCTATGGGGCACTGCGGCCTCACCTGGTGGCCAAGCCTGGGCGTGGCACAGCAGTGTGGACAGGTGGCTCCATGGTGGCCTCCTTGCGTTCCTTCCAACAGCGCTGGATAACCCGGGCCATGTACCAGGAGTGTGGCTCCAGGCTGGTGCACGAAGTGTTCAACTGAGTCATGTTGGACTGGAGGGGAGGTGCCACATGAGGGGCACGGTGGGCTGAGCTATAGCTCTATCAGAGGCATTGAGTGCCAAATAAAAGTCTCAAGTGATTGGAGGTGGCAGAGTCATCATGTGCTGATGAGTCACTCCTACCCCTTACTGAGCCAGGAGGAGGTGGTCGAGATCCCAAGGACCCTCACTTTGACCTGCAGTTTGGATCTACCATAACCAGTGCCAGTTCAGAGAATACCAGTCCAGGTGCCTACCCCCAGGGCCCCGTTTCCATGGCAACAAGGAAGATAACACTCCCACTTGTGTCCAGGCCACAGATATGGAAATTATCACAACACATCATGGAAATTATCACAACTGCTCATCATGTACTATTTGGATTCCCATCCTATGCTAAGCCTCAACGGCAGAAAACCTACTAAAACCCATGGAGAAGCAACCAGAAAAGGAAACCCTGTCCTTAGCTGATCATTGACTCACTGAAGGCCTCAGTTTCCCCTTCTGTAAATATGGGGTCACACACAATCCTCACTGTTCCCTCCTTGCCTCCTTATTAAGAGCTATGGGACAAAGGGAGGTGGAGACATTTCTTAAAAGAAACATACAAAGGGAGGGGTGGCTTGTGTTTTTGAAGTCGCTCTCCAAGAGCCTAGAGCCCTGGCTGTGAGCACTGTTTGTGCTCGTATACACACGTGGCCACGCATGCATACAAACACTTGGGTGCTACATGTCTGCCTGCCTTACACGTGTCCTCAGGCCAGGCCCTGCCCCACCAGGTTCCACACACTAGCATGGGCCTGTGGCTGTGTGTGAGTATGCCCACCTCCCAGCCCATCCCTGCTGGGTCCTGGGCTTGATACCCCACAATAGTTAGGTCTGGCCAATAATAAAAACAGCAGCAGCAGGAGCTCCAGGTAGCAAGTGGCTGCTGTGTGCCAGGCACAGCTCTGGGTGCTGGGAATAGAGAACACGAAAGGCAAAAATCCCTGCCTTCATTCTCATTTCTCTGTCACATCAAATGTATGGAGGTAAGCTCTATTATTATCCCCAGTTTACAGATGAGTAAACTGAGGCCCAGAGAGATAAAGGTACACAGCCAGAATGTGGGAGAGAACCCAAGCCTCTAGCTTCACAGCCCTGAGCCATGACAGTAGAGGCTCCCATAGGACAGCAGACACCCCTGCCCTCATTCCAGGCCCTCCACCATCAACCCCTCCACTCACCAGCTTGGTGGTGTCCATGGCAGTGAGCACGGCACAGTTCAGTGACTCCAGTGCGGCCAGCACAGGCCGGTAGACACCCAGGTGTTCTGAGAAATAGTCTGCAGGCAGAGAAGGTGCTCAAAGGTTCCCAGACCACCCCCTACTCCTGCTCCGTGGCCTCATTTACCCAACCTGGGATTCCTCAACAGCCAACCAGGCCTCATATCCTGAGGCAAGCCCATCTTGTTCCATTAGGAGAGAAGGAACAGCCTCCAAGGAACATCATGCCCACCTGCCCAGGGGCGCCAGGAGACCAGAGCTCCCGTGGACCTACTCACCACATAGTTTCTCCGTTTCCAAATTGCTGCAGGAAAAAGAGGAGGCACGCTTCAGTCCCACAGACTTAAGCTTGGTGACCTGAGACTTTGAAGCCAATGTTCCTCCCACTGCCCACCCCAGCTCAGCCTGATGAGGAGGCTGCTTCTGCCTCCACCCAATTTAAGCTGCTCAGTGGGCCAATGGGGTCAGCAAGGGTATTACTGAGGGCGAAAATTCAGACCCACTCTTGGCCTCCAAGGGGAACTCAGGACCAGGGAGAGAAATGTGGACACAGGCCAGAGAGGAGTATAATCAGAGCCGGGAAGGGAAAACCAGGTCTGGGTAAGTTCAGAGAAGGCCTGGGGTATTACTTGGTAGGTTAGGGAGGACTTCCAGAAGGAGGGTGCTTAAGTTAGGCCTTCAAGGACAAGGAATTTGATCTGAGTGTCTGGTGGTGGGGAGGTGGCAACATTGCAAATAAAAGGTCCAGCCCAAGCCTCAGAGTAGGGAAGGGCATGGAAGCCTTGAACGCTGACCCAGAGTTTGAAATTTATTCTAAGGAGATGGGGGAGAGGGAGGGACAGCTGTGTATGTGTATGCACCCATGTGAGGAAGCATGGGGAGGGAAGCATGCAGACTCCTGCTAAGGCCCGTAGATGTGGGAGCACACATGGGGAGGTATGTGCGTGTTCATGAACCTGCATCGATGCGTGGAAGCAGGTGAGGCCCAGCTATCCTCAGGCATCCCCTTGTCCCTGCAGGAAGCGGGAATGGGGAGGGGGGTAGGGGGACACCTGTGGGCTGAACCACTGGCTGGTGACTCAGACCGGGCTATTTTGGGGTCCCAGCTGGAAGGAGTGTGATGGACAAGGCTGGAGCCAGGGAGGGAGTGAGTGGGCGGGTAAAGCTGTCATCAAGCCCTAGCACCTCTCTCCCTATGCAACCCCCCATCCTCCATAAGGAGGCAGGGGACACCGTGGGGCTGGGAGAGCCTAGCTTCACATCTACACCCAGCTCACCCACCCGTTCTCGTACTCACTCAGTGGAGGGCCCATCAATGCCGCTGAACAGTTCCCGCAGCTCCCCAGGGCTGAGAACCCCATCAGCAAAGTAATTCTGGAACTCCTCAAATGAGAGCTTACCATCATCTGGGGTGGGAGCAGAGAGCAGAGCTGGTATCCCTGACCCCTGGCTGCACCCCTGCCACCAGCTTCAGACCCCCTAAAGCTACTTGGCCAGGTGGAATGGAATTCTGAGCTTGGGGGGACTTGGCTGTTGGGGACAAAAGAGTCTCCAGGGGTGCCCACTTAAGGCAACAGGGTCCACTCTTCAGGCACCCAAAGGACAAGGCAGCACACACATGGCATTGCATAGGGACTCAATAAATGCTTGCCAAATGAAGAAGCAAATGGAAAGCCTGGGACATGGCCAGGTCATGGCAGAACCTAGACATCACTCGGAGGACTTGGGGGCTCAGTCTCTGCCCGCCAAGCCTGGCTCCAGGCTGCTCTGTACCCACACCCTTCACAGAGAAGCCACCAGGAGGCAGATGAGATCTTCCTAAGAGTTGGAGCCCCTGCAAGAAGCCGCAGGCTGGCAGGCTCAGGAGGGAATGCCCTTCTCTTCACAGGGGCTATGGAATAGTCTAAGAGCACCAGGGGGATGGCCAAAGACACCGGGAATTTGCCTGTAAGGTCTCTAAGCAGATGGGGTTGGGGGAGCAGAGCTGGGGGGGTGGGGTGGTCTGAGCCTCCCCAGACAGAGTGCTATGATCCAAATGTGTGCTGGCTGATCAATGGGTTGGGACACGATCCTGTCTCCAGGAGGCTGAAACACCAAAGGGTCTGAAGACCCCAGATGGAAGTAAGGCCAAGGCTGACCGGCTGCCTCAGCTCAGACCCTCACCTGGCCAATCAGGACACAGTGGGCTGCTCCAAGTTGTGGGCAGCAACTTGATCGTGGGCTCCCTTGAGGGCTCCTGCTTTAGCTTTCAAGGTTTTCCCAAACCAGGGTCTGAGACTGCCCAGGACCCAGAGCAGGGGAAGCTGATTCCCAGCAGCATCCTGTGCAAGCCTTCCCTGGGTCCAGGTGGTTAGTCATATGGGAAGTTACTGAGCCCTCTAAAGATCTAACAGCACAATCCCCTACAGCCTCATCTCCATCACCCAACCTTTCCAAGCCCCTTACGCAGGAAGCTTGGAACCAAGCATCACACAGACCTGGATTCAAGGCCCACCACTTAAAGGCTGTGTGACTTCAAGCAACCTGCTTCACCTCTCTGGGCCTGTGCTCCTTAGTCTGTAAAATGGGATGAAGAATTCCCATCTAGCTGTTGGTTGTGAGGACAACATGAAATCATATAGAAGAGTTATCCATACCTGTGCCCGGGGCATTGTGGTAGAGTATGCCCCCACCTCCAGCCTCTGGCTAAACCACATTCCCTCCACTCTCCATCCTGCCAAACTGAATTCCAAATGGCACCCCCTCTGGGAAGGACGGCTTGACCGATTCTCCTGATTTGGGTCTTCCCAAGATTTTTCTCCATTCTAGACTGTGCTTCCAAACCCGTGACACTCCCCTGAGCCTCCTTGATGGCCCCCACCCCTCCCCACACTGTAGACTCAAGGGAAGGCGCACTCACCATTCTTGTCTGCTCTGCGGAAAACCTGGAGGACAAAGGGGCACAGACGGGAGCTGTGAGTGCCGCCTAGGAGGCAGGATGCCCCCACCCAGCTCATCAGGGCCCCAGCTGGCCAGCCTACCCCCCCACAACCTTGCCTTTCCTCTTGCCCAGCCTGGTCCTAAACCCCTGCCCAGAGCAGCCCTGTGGGAGGCTTTCCAACAAGGAGAGCACAGGAAGATCACACAGCAGGTCTCACCACTTGCTCACATTTCCTGCAGGTCCTGGCCCCACAGGGGGTGCTCCACACCAGCTTCCAGCACCCCCACCTCCCACACCCAGAGGCTACCCTGGGTTCTGTCTGAGGTATGAGCCCTTGCCACAGTCCCAGCTTGAAGAAGGTGGGGAAATGGGCCAAGTTCCTGGGCACTACTTGTCCCAGACCTGAACCCCTTAACTCTGCAGCATGGCCATGGTCCATCCCAGACTCTGCCCACTCAAGGCTCTTTCCCTGTGTGCTTAAGACCCTGATATGCAAACAGTGGCTAGTCCTTTCTTTGTGGGTGTCTGGGGTTAAGCATTCCAGGGCCAGGGCTTCTTATGAGGCTGATTCAGTGTGAAGGCCTTGGGCAGGCTCGCACGCGCGTGTGTGTGTGCACGCACACACATGTGCAAAGGGGAGTGGGAGTGGCAGAAAGCAAGGGTGGACAGATTGTATTTACAGAGAAGCAGAGATGAAGGGCAACAGAGGCAGAAAGGGACAGAGTCAAGACGTGATCAGGGACCAGAGACTCCCAGGTCATCCAAAGCAGCCCAGCAAATGGGAGACCAGCACACCTGGCAAGGAGGGGCCGGCCAAAGTCTGGACAAAGAACCCTTAACAACTCCAGGTCCTGAATGCCACTCCTCTCCAGCTGTTACCTCTGGGTCAGTGAAGCATTGGGATGAATCTAACCCCTAGCCAGAAGCCTGACTCAGAGGTCTGCCACTGTCTCGGGTCACACAGCAGCCCAGTGTGGCCTGGCTGGGGCAGATGGAGATGGCAAGAAGGGGTGCTATGCTGTGAATGAGGGCACCTGGGGCCACACTCAAACAAGCCTCTGCCTCTGTGTGATTGTGGACATGTTCCTAACTCCTCCGGCCTTGGTTTTTCCATCTGGGAAGCGGGATGGACAGATTCCTTCCATCCAGGACTGCGGTCAAGGTGCTGAGTCACTGGGGGCAGCGGGGAGTGGACAGGAGTGCCGTCTTTCCGTCTTTCCCGCAGGCAGAGACCTCTGAAGCTGGGGGCGGGGGGGTAGTGAATGGGCCAGGATGGGGCTGAGCACTAGGGGAGGAAGGGGCCTGAGGCAGTGACTGAGGCCTGGCTATGCTGCCCTTAGTTGGTGCCCCTGGGGGCGCTGCAGGGCCACCTGCCACACACAGGAGGGAGGTACAGACCACTGTGGGCAGTCCTGACGAACTATGGGACTCCATGGCCCCTGGGTCAGATCTATGGGACTCTGGGATCAGCCCTGGATCAGCAGTCTGGGGGGCTGTTTATTCTCCCAGCCTCCCCTGACTGGGTCAGCCCAGCCTGGGATTGCCAGAGAGGGGACTGCTCCTGTGATCAAGTGTTGACAGCCCCCACTGCATCAGACACATAAATGGGGTGGACTCGGTGTGGGGGG